CACAGCCGGATTTCCTATTATGTCAAGATTATACCGACAGTAGGCTGTTTATTGGTAAAAGAGGATTAAGTACACATATTAAACGATGCCACAGTAAAATTATTTCGACTTCACAGCCTACCGTAGAAATTCATTACTCTAATAATAATTCCTCTAATGTTACAAATTTTTCCCTTTTTCGTAACAAATTTACAATTATCATCTCAATCTACCAGTGGTTAAAATAATTCCCAGAGGTGCGAGTATGCAGCTTGCTAAAGCATTGTCATGCACTATTCAAAAGTGTTTCACTAATAGCGAAAAGAGTTGGCAAAAATTATTTACTTTCCCATTTTCATTTTGATATAACAATAAATAAATCAATTACATCTCAAATAAAAGAGATATCTTTTCAAAATTTGGATTACCCAATTAATACTTATTTATGTCGACCACGTCCTAAATTTGATTTAAAAAAAGTAGTTGAGTCGAAAGTAACGGATGGCGACTTAAAAAATGCATCCCTTATTTTATTCTCAGACGACATCCTGGCTCCTTGTAATGTCGAAACTCTTGAAAGCCTTCGTCAGAAGCATTCTTCGGTCAATAATTCTCAGGGTTTAACGCTGCCTCCCAAGACTTCTATGCAATCTTTACAAACTCTGCTCCGTCGGCGTCACCGGCTTCTGCCGGCAGAGTACTTTTTAATGACATTACAAATTATGTAACTTTGTGCTTTCTGGTAATGTCAATCCCAATTTCGTTGCATTCTTATATGGGGCAAGATAATGTGCCTTCAAAAAAAAGGATAACGGTATCCGTCCTATTGCCGTTGGTTCCACATTTCGACGCTTAACTTCAAAATGATCTTGCAGGCCCATAATCTCTAGCTTTAAGACAAAATTTCAGCCTACTCAACTAGGCTTTGACACGTGAGGCGGTGATACATTCATGCGTACATTTTTAACAAACTCTAATGCAGATGTTCTTGTGAAGGTTGACCTAAGGAATGCTTTTAACTATATCGATAGGGTAACTCTGCTGAAAGAAGTAGCTAAAAATACGCCCGAAATTTATTATTACGTTTGCCAATGTTACAATCATAATACTAACTTGTTTTACGAAAACCATATTATCGATTCTGCTGTCGATGTTCAGCAGGGTGAGCCACTAGGTCCAGCCCTTTTCAGCTTGGGAATTCAACCCATTATTTCAAATTTGAAATCCAAGCCGAATATCTGGTACCTGGACGATGGTACACTGGGAGGTAGAGCAGATGACGTTCTCAGTGATCTTACTCATATTTTTCGAAATTTTCAAAATATTGGTTTTAAACCAAATAGTAATAAATGTGAAATTTTTTTTCCAATAATTTATCTACTTCTCACAGAGACACTTTATTTCAAAATTTCAATCATATTTCTCCAGAAATAAAATCTGTCAATACGGAATCACTATGCCATCTGCTAGGTGCCCAGTTGTTTTTCGATAGTATTCATTGTGTTTTAAAAACAATATTTGATCAGTTTTAAAACCACGTTGATAAATTGTATAAATTAAACCCCACATTGCTCTTAATATTTTAAAATAGTGTCTCCTTGTACCTAGATTTACATACTTACTACGCTCGAGTCCAGTCGGGAAATGTTCGGATATTTTAAATGATATTGATAATAATGTTAAAATAGCTATAGAAAAAATTCTAAATTTAACTTAAAATACGCCTGGACTCAAGCTACTTTACCTATAAATTTTGGTGGTATTGTTGTCAGAAATCTTTCTAGCGTTGCGATGCCTGCTTTCCTTGCTTCCGTGCATGTTTTCAGTGATATATGTAACATGATTTTAAATAATAAAGTAGACCTGTGCTTTGCTACGAAGGCGGGGTAGACCTGGCGGGGGCTCTCTCTCGGCGAAAATGTTCCACTGGCAGTTAACCAACAAAAAAGTGGGATATTCCGTTGGTACAGAAGGTGCAGAAAGATTTGTTTCATAATCTTCTTAGTGACCAAGATAAGGCACGCCTTCTAGCTGTTTCGACGAAGTAATCCAGTCACTGTTTACACGCTTTACCATCAAGTAACTTCCGAAAATGATACCCGCCTGACCACATGAAAAATTTATGCTAGAAGTCATACAACTGAAAGAAAAAAAAGAAGAAAAAAGAAGTAGAAGAAGAATACCACCCAGCAACTGCTCATCATCCGCAAACCGAGTCTACGAAGTCAACACTGCTGCACACTTCTGTTGTTTTCTACGCTGTCGCTGTGTTCCTGAATCCTGATCAAAATACAAGTACATAAACGCGACATGTTCCCGTAAGTCCGCTCCAGTTTATTATAATGATACAGTCTTAAATGTTGTGAATAATGCTGAATGATTTATAAACTTTACAAAATATATAACCTAATTTGTTTAAACAATCAAAAAAATTATAAATACAAAATTAATTCATATTTTAATTATACTCTCATTCATTCATTTCAACATAATCCATTGTATATCAAGTGTCTTTTAGACATTATATTTTAATTGTGTGCCATTGCATGTATTCGAGACCAGTGCAACGCCTTGTCCCTACTACTCCGACGCGAAACGCCGAGTACCTTATCTTTGTTTTGACTAATCTTCGTCCGTCACAATGCCTAAAGATGAACCTACACCGGTTACTTCGACACCAAGCATCGATCTCAATATTCTTTGTAAATTTATAAGTAAGTTTGACGGCAACCGAGAAAAATTAATGCTATTTATTAATAACTGTAGTAATGCTATGAACCTCGCGTCAGATCAACAACGGGATATCCTTTTAAAATACATACTTAGTCAATTAGAAGGACGCGCTGAAAGTGCATGCTCGAATAAAATATTTGAATCTTGGTCACAGTTAGAAGACTTTCTTAAATCCCAATTCGGTGACAGAAAACATGACGCTGCACTGCTCTCAGACCTACAAGAATATCGTCAATACAACTACGAAACGGTCAACCAGTACGCGCTGCGAATAGAGAGGTGATTGTCTAAATTGTTAACGGAAATAAATATATTAATACCTACAAGAAAAAAGGGAGAACTGGCAGGCCGTCTCGCGGCAATGCAGGACTTAGCGTTACACACTTTCGTGGTTGGCTTAAATCCTCGTCTATCAACAGTAGTACGATGGCGCGATCCCGATACGCTCAATGATGCTATTAATTTTGCCGTGTCTGAAGAAAAAATATTCCAGGTGACTGGACGCCACCTAAGTCAAACAAATACCCAGGATTCAAACCAAAGACGCTTTACTAGTCGTAATTTTCAACAAAACCAAACAACCACACCAGAGAGGCCTTATAATAATTCAGCTGTGTCTTCCTCTATGTTCAGAACTGATTACCCAGTGTGCCGATACTGTAAAATACCCGGTTATACATTAAAAACATGCCGCAAACGCGAGGCTAATTATCGACGACGATTTGGTAACGTTCAAAACAATTATAGTAATAATAACTTTAATCGCAATAACTACAATAATAATGGTCCACCGCCTCACATTTTCCCGAATCGTAATCAGCATATCAATGCTGCTGATGAAAAATGATCAAAATGTCGATAACACCAACCATCATTTAAACGCGGAGGATTTCCCGTCCAGTATCGCACGGGAATACTAAATAGCGAAGCCGATACTCACTTATTTGCCAATCATAACACAGCATTTTACTCATTTTCTATTCCCGTTCCAACTCAATCTAATCGACAGGGTTATCCAGCCCCAAACCGACAGATTGAAAGTTAATAATTCTACTTCAATTACCAAACAGCCTATCAACGGCGTCATATTGAAGAGTATTTCGTCTCCTGCATCTGAAAAGAAAGAAAACAATATTAAAATATATAACATCTCTACAAATCCATCAAAAAATACTTACCTTTTATAAAAGTCCAAACTTCTGTCTCGTCGAAATCCTTATCCTTGCTCATCGATACCGGCGCAGCTATCAGTATTATTAATGATTCTGCTGTAGAAAAGATACCTGAAATAAACAACAATACTATAGACATTACTGGTATAGGAAATGACTGTTACATCCCTTAGTCATATCCCAATTGAATTTTGTTCCTACCCACATAACTTCTATGTACTTCCAGCGTTTGATTTGCCGTTTGATGGAATCATCGGTAGCGACCTTCTTATCAAATTAAATTGCAAAATTAATTATGATAACAACACCTTTAAAGTAAATAAAGATGAAATAAGGCTTCGTTTCACTAAGCCAGTCTATACTATTGCACCTCGATGTGAAACTATCATAGAGTGTTCTGTAAGAAATCCGTTCATTAAAGAAGGACTTGTTTCTCGATCAGAACCCCGTAGACTCACTCCTAATAGCTAACTGCAGCGTAAAACTGAAATCAAATTTAAGAATTAATATCTCCGTTGTAAATACTTCCAAAAGCTAATTAATCGTCGATTCCGATCTAAACTAACGCTACAACCTTTGGAAAATAAATATAATCATCAAATTTTTTATACTTCTTCGGTTCACAAAATAACGTCCTTACTTGCACCGATCAAACTCTAAATCTCTTAAGATTGTCACACCTAAACAAAGAAAAGAAAAAAGCACTATGCGATCTTTGCTGTACTTACTCCGATATCTTTCATCTGCCTTGCGACAAATTAACTAACACAAACGTCTTGCAACACGAAATTCCTACTTCGTCTTCCATACCAATCAACACTAAGTCTTACCGCTTCCCTAACATTCAAAAACCAGAAGTAGAACGCCAAATAAATAAAACGCTTGACTATGGCATCATCAAACCCTCGACATCACCCTGGTCATGACCAATTTGGATAGTTCGAAAGAAAATCGATACGTCCGGGCAACGTAAATGGCGCGTAGTCATAGAGTACCTCCGTCTAAACGACATCACTATAGGAGATTCCTCTCCGATACCCAACATAACAGAAATTCTTGATTAGTTAGGGAAATGTAAATACTTTAGACCTTGCTTCCGGTTTCCACCAGATAAGAATGTCCGAAAAAGACGCTCCTAAAACTGCCTCCTCTGTCTCGCAAGGACACTTTGAATTTACAAGGATGTCTTTTGGGCTAAAAAACGCCCCTTCAACATTCCAAAGGTTTATGAACACTGCCCTATCTGGCCTGCAAGGACTCCAGTGCTTCGTCTACCTAGATAATATCGTTATTTACTCATATGATCTTCAAACACACATTAATAATCTTTCCAACGTCTTTGACAGACTCCGACACTTCAATCTTAAACTCCAACCAGATAAGTGCGAATTTATCCGAAAGGAAGTGTCATATCTTGGTCATATCATTACCAACGAGGGGTTAAAGCCAAATCCAGAGAAAACCAAAGCTGTTCAACAATTTCCCCAACCTCGATGTCCAAAAGATATCAAATATTTAATGGGATTAGTGTCATACTATCGAAGATTTATACCAAATCAACTAAAAATTCAAAACCTCTTATAAACCTTCTGAAGAAAAATGTTCCTTTCGATTGGCAAAGTGAGCAACAACTGGCCTTCGAAACTCTAAAAAATTGTTTGAATACGGCTCCAATATTAGCCTACCCAGACTTCACAAAGCCTTTCGTGTTGACTTGTGATGCATCAAATTTTGTTATTTTGGCCATATTATCACAAGGTCCCATAGAGAATGACAGACTTGTCGCTTATGCTTCAAGAACTTTAAATAAAGCCGAGTGTAACTACAGTATAACAGAAAAGGAATGCTTAGCAATTCTTTTCGGTACTAAAGTATTTAGGCCATACCTATATGGCCGTCGTTTTAAAATTATTACCGACCACCGCCCACTTAAGTGGTTATTTAACTGCAAAGACCCGGAGTCAAAACTAGTAAGGTAGAGGCTAAAATAAGAAGAGTTCGACTACGAGGTCGAATACAAAAAGGGCACAATTAACAGTAACGCAGACGCATTATCCCGTTTCCCTTTTAATCCGATTGTACAAAATGATACAATCTCAGATTCGCAACCTTCCACCTCCCACGATGAACGTCAAACTACTCAAGATCCTGAACTTCCTTCAGACATTCTCGAAGAACTCATTGAACTGGGTGACTTGAATATCAGTCCATCAGAACTGTTGAATCCCGAACACACTGACTCAATTTCATTAGACGAAAAATCCCCACAAAATTCCTGTAAGGAATCAAATAAAGACTCTGAAAACAACCTGGCCCATTGCAACGACGATTACTCTACATTCCTTAATAATCGCGCAAAACACTGTTGTCGGAGTCGACCCCAGATGTCACTCGGCTCGGCGCGATTCCGGTTTGAATTTCTTCCGAGCGTGGCGGTGGCGCGCGGGTCGCAAGCACGTCAGTCGTCTTTAATCGGTGCTGACGTGAGCACGCGGTCCATTCTGTTAGGGAACTCGGAATAATTAGGCGCGGCCAGTAAATATACGGTCTATCATTGTGACGCGCATTCCTACTGGAGAGCTTCCCGGGACTTATTGTGTCTGACTCAAAACCTTCATAAGTGCATTCGGCAATGTTAGATAGTGCGGCCTCTGATATTCTAGAATTAACTATTGCTTCGCGAAACGGTAGTGACCTTTGACCCTTTAAACTCCGTGTGCGTTTGTGCGGTAACCATTATACCCAGCGATAGTTAGTGGCTTCTGTAAGTTAGTAAATCGTACGATAGAGTTAAGTGACTGTTATCGTGACGAAAGAAGAAAGTGACTGTGGACAACCTCGAAAGGCACCCTCAAGTTGGAGCGGTGTCGACGCTCGGGCTGCTGCCGACGGCCAAGGTCTAGGTTCAATAACCATCAGTCACACCCAGATACACACCACATCACCATTCTTTCTTTGCACTACACAACCACATGCGACCTGACCGACTCCGGAGGGACCAGTCGCCTTGGATAGGTAAGTAAGCTTCATCCAAATTCCTTCCGGTCGACTGGCCGTAGTATAACGCTCCCCCATATATTTTAGTGTAATTGGAGAGATTCCACGTGGCCTTAGGAGGCTCGACCTACGTCTGTTCGGGAAATCTTCAGCTCATGGGCCCCTGAAGATTGGATCCTTTAAGGGAGCAGCCGTAGGCCGTAACAAACTGGTAGCAGAGCGTGGTTCCGGGTTCGATTCCCGGTCGATCCCGACTATAGTGTTTGATAAACATTAAACAATTTTGGTGGCAGGGAGCGTTGGTGTGATTGGTTTAATTTGCATCTACAATCACGCCCGTCCGTAATACGTAAAAATATTTTTTTTGTACGTAATAATAGAATTATTTTCCTTTGTTGCTTTGTTGCTTGCCTTTTTTTTGGTTAGAGGGTAATTTGAAAAGCCGCGCCCTAGGTTGTGCAAGCGGGAGTTTTTCTAGAGATATACGTCATGTAGGTAGATGGTGATTTTTACGTAATCGGTTAATTATCGTTGTCGGATAGTTGTAGTGGATTACTTATCGAAGGTTCGATTTCCGAGCTAGGCATTTTGTTGATCGACCGTGATGTGTATCTTCGTTTATACTGTAATTTGTATTTGAACTAAAGAGTAGTAATTGTATTTGCGTACTTTGAATTTAACTTGATTTCATCGCACTAGTATTTGTTATTTGTTAATTTGATTGTGTCTTTTCTTTTGAGCTAACTTGTATTTGGTTGATACGTAGTAATTCGTATTTGTGTAATTTCTATTCAACGCGATTTGATAGGAACTGCATTTATTAACTGTTAATTTTTGTTGTATTTTTTGTTTGTCATCTTTGTAATCTGTGCTCAAGCCGCGTCGTAATTTGTATTTAATAGTGATGACATCGCCTAAGCTACTGATCCGTTGTCTGCAGACTGAGTTGCGCTGGGCCACAAGCGCCCATGCTTTGATAGGTCGACCGGATAGGGTCCATAACTTGATGAAGCGGTTCGAGCAGGTGGATGCTCGAAGGGCCGCAGTAGAGGAGGCTTACGCTGAGCTCGAGGATTCGGATGTGGAGAAGGGAGTCCTGGACTCTTGCTTTGCGGACTATGAGCAGTTCTTGTGGCTCACGGACGAGTTGATCGAGGCTGAAGGCAGGTATGCCGAGGAGGCGCGTGAAGCTCGGATGAGTAACCTGCCCGAGTCCTCTCTGAAGCAGCTTCAGCCGGAGCTGTTGGGACGACTCCCAACTCTGGAACTGCCGAAGTTCTCCAGGGTCCTTTCCGAATGGCTGACCTTCGTTGGTCTTTTCGACAGCCTAGTAGACGCCCGGAGTGACTTGACCCCGAGTCAAAAGATGGCGTACCTCCTGGCCTCACTGGAGGGGGAGGCCCTGGGCGTCGTCGGCCACTTGAAATTGTCGGACGACGCCTACCAGACTGCTCGGGACCTCCTAGCCAGAAGATACGCCAACATCCGGCGAATTGCAGACGAGCATGTTAAGCAGCTTCTAAGCCTCCCGCTGCTTAGTGACCGGGCCAGACTGCGTCCGGACCTGTTGGATCCAGTCTTGGTGGCCTGTAATACATTGAGGCGGCTGGGTTTACCAGTGGGCGAATGGGCTTTTTTGTTGCTCCGCATCGTGCTGTCCCGTCTACCTCTCGACCTGCGAATCCATTTTGAGGAGAGGTACGGCGGGGACGAGGCCTCCTATATTCCGCCCTTCTATGACCTGCTGCGGTTTTTGGAGGAGCAGTGTCGGCAGATAGAGAGCGCGGCGGGCACCGTTGACGACTTACGAGCCGTGCCCAGTGAGAGGCTGAATCCTCCAGGCAAGTCGTCGTCAACCCCCCCTGCTCCTATTGTCGAGCATCTGATCATCGGGTAACGTCGTGCCCGAAATTATTAGGTAAGCCGGTTCCAGCGAGGCGAACTATCGCCAAGGAGCGCCGCTGGTGCTGGTCATGTCTGGGAGGGCACCTCCAGCGAGACTGTCCGCATTGACGGCCTTGTCTGCATTGCCAGGGCAATCACCATGCCGTTTTGTGCCTGGGTGCGAACGGCATCTCCTCTCGGGGCTCTGCCAGGCCCTCGACCCCCACGGGCGGGGGCGCTCAGCCACGCCCTCTGCAGGGTGACTCTCGGCGCCCGCCAGCCAGCCACCAGGCCCCTAAGTTTGAAAGGAGTCCCTCCCCCGACCAGTCGGGGGGTAATTCCCCCAGGGGCGGGGGTGTCATCACCCCCCCTCAGCGTGTGGAGAGGAACTTCACGGCCACTCATCGGTCCGCTGGACCCTTCTCACTTCCGTTAGCTGAGTGGCCGCGACTGGTGTACCACTGTTCCCCATTTGATGGAGGCGGCCCTGTCTAGCTGCTGCCTTAGTTCCCACCACGGCCGCCTCCACTGAGCCTTAAGCCGTCAACAGTCCACTTGTCAAAATGTTCTGTTGCCGACGGCCTCAGTGAAGGCGTACAACCCGAGTGGCAACTGTTAAGGGTTGTGCTCTATTTATCTCGGGTTCACGCCATGTGGCCTCCCCTTGGTGGTGGGAAGATTAGGGCCCCCCTGGAGCGTTGAATCACGTTGTCAAGGGGTATTAGATTTGGGTTGGTCGAGCACTTAGTCAAAAAATACTTGAATTAAAATTAAAAATTGCTTTGGGCTTTCCGCGAAATTTTCCTATTTGTAGCGGTTTAAATTAAAAGAATTGAATTTAATCTACTCCTTTAAATGCTACTGCATGTGTTTTGTACATATATTTAATCACTGTATTTGATTGTTGCGTCTGTTTGCTGAAAGGAAAATTTGAATTCATCTGAAATTGAATGGCGCACTATTTGAAAAATTATCTATATGTTTATGATAGTGTTTAATCATTTTGCTTTGCGAAGGAGTAGGGCTGTCCCTTACGTTATTGTTTTGTTTAATTTGCAAGTTGGCCTATGCGCATCGGTGATTAACTTGGTTGAATTAATTCTGTAGCTGAACATTGATGCTTTTGAAAAATTAGTTGAAATATGAGCATAGGACTACTTGCCTAACAGGCTAGCTAGTTTGGAGATTATCTGATTGAAATCAGCTGCCGCGCTATTTTAGTAAATGATAATATGGTGGGTGGCCTGGCTAGGCCTACTTGTTGAAAATTCATACTAGGGACTATCTGTGCGTTTCGTTTGGCTCTCCACAGACGACGTTCATGTGGAATTTGTGGGTGCGCTCTGCACTGAAGCAACTGCTGGCACAAAATTTGTCTGGGCAGCTTCGTGTAGCGTCGCTGTTTGCAGAGCTGATCCGGTCGGATTGCGGAACTAATCATAGGGGCACAGATAGGTGTTTGAAAGAGGTCGTCGGACTTCTGTCCAGTACAGGACTTATTAAAGTGCTGCAATGCCCAGGAGGGGCATCCAGTGGAGGCTGACCCTCCGGCTTGCCACATTAGGGCTATCTTTTGAGGCGTTGATTAAGGTTGCAAGATCTGATGGGTTGCCTAAGGTGGCCTAGTTTGGTTGTAGATTCGGTCTTGCAACTTGCCGTCGCGACCTTGTCTCGCTGCCCGGTTTGCTCGCGGACCTAAATCC